TATTCCAGAATTTAAAAACAATGAGTTTTAACGCTCAAAAACTGGAGTTTTCGCCGTTTTCACGGTCTGAAAGTGAAAATTTTGCGCAAAAAACGCGTTTCTTGCGTTTTTTTAATGAGCGTTACTGCCTCACAATCGCGGTTCCCTTTTGAGCGTTTTAACGCGTTTTTCCAACTGTTTGTCTGCTTGGGTGATAGTGATGCGACGGATGAAGAACGATACTAACACATAAGAAACTGCGTTCTAAATGTTCGTTTGCATTTAGTTTTACGTTTACTCTGCCTTTTCCTTCATGCTCGTAACGAACTCGAAAAAGGAAACTTTCTATTGAAAACTTTATGAGGCAGGCTGAATATTTCACAAATCAGGAAGAACGGCATAAGGATTAATCTAAAGTGTCATTTTGTTTACAAACAAACTGGCTGACTAACCACAAAGATGGAAACAAAGGTAAATAAACCTTTCAGGATATAGAGAATGACTCTTAGTCACTCCTGTCGGCAGATCAATCCACGTTTTATCAGTCTACGATCCGTCTTATATTTTCTGCGCCGTCCGGTTGTAATAATTAGCCAATACTAGCCTTTTTCCAAATAAGTAATATTTAAGCAAAAATTTACTTGAAAAAGCCAGCTTAATTTTAGTACTTAACAGCAGCATCATTAAGTTTCAAAAAAAAATAGCTGCCGGTAAATAATGCACTTTGTTCTGTTTTTCTATCGTACTCTGCCATTTTTAATGTTCATTGCTATACCAACAACTTAGCTCATATGCGATCCCGATAGCGGGTAGCGTGTAGGTACTGTCTTCGATACAATCAAGTTGTTGCCTAAAGTGAATTTTGGATTAGTCCCATCAAAGACGAGTAAGCACTTTCGCTTCTTCAGATCGAAAAACAAGACGATAGCTGATCTACCAGAGATGCGCGGTACAGTCTCGTCTCGACGGGACGGGTCGAGACGGGACGAGACGGGATAGGTTCGAAAATTATTTTGACGAGACGAGACGGGACGAAGTGCTCACGAGACGGGACGGGACGAAACAGGATAAGAGCTGTTTCTTTAAAACTGTATCTACTTGCGCGCTTTCGAATAATTATAGTTTGTCATAGAGATTTTCATAGTTAAATTACAAATGTTTATTGATGGACTGGATAATGAGGACGAAGACAACGACTATGATTTGGAGACTAATGATTATGTTGAATATAATCCACTTTATTTTTGGCAACAACAACAGACGCAGTTGAAGTCCTTACGGGACGGGACGGGACGAGGTCCTTACGGGACGAGACGAGACGGGACGGGACGGGACGACGTCCTTACGGGACGAGACGAGACGGGACGGGACGAGGTCCTTACGGGACGAGACGGGACGGGACGTCAAAAAATCTTGTCCCGCGCACCTCTGTGATCTACTGTTTATTTGATAGTGACTCGCCCTATTCATGGATATCGTCAGCTCGTTCTTAAGAACGTGTTTTTCATTTTCGGCAGTATCAATTGAGGTGCATTCTATTGAAGACTAACTTTCTAGTGTTTTCTACTTAAGCTTCGGACAGAAAGCACTGGTCTCTTCCACACACGGGAATTTCTAAACGACTTCATTGAATTCCAAGACGATTCAAAGGTGATTTCGAATTATACATGTAACTTCTTGAGAATAATTCACGGAGAATTCAGTGAAGTCGTTTAGAAATTCCCGTGTGTGGAAGAGAGCAGTGCTTTCTGTCCGACGCTTAAGCAGAAAACCCTAGAAAGTTAATCTTCAATAAAATATACCTCATAAACGTAACCTCAACTGATACTGCCGAAAATGAAAAACATCCTGTTTTCATATTTGCTTGTACTGTAGAACATCCTTTTTCACAGCAAATAACAGTTTCAGAATGCTAAATAAATCATTAAGTTTCTACGATTTCTCTGATGATGGATATTGCTATTCTTTATTCAAGCTATTGACAACTTTGTTTCTGCGGACAAATTATTTGTAATAGAATGTTTTTGATTAAAGTGTTTATATTTCATTTTTTCAAAAATACTGCTAGGAGAATTCGTTTTGTAAACCATTCAAAACAAAGTTAGGCTATAGAGAGTACTCACTATATCTATAGCATATGTATATTGAAAGAAAAAAAGTCACAAATATCAGAATCAATGTGTAATGAGTCTGAAGAAAAAGAGAAAGGGGGCACTCGGGTTTGAACCAAGGACCTCTCGATCTGCAGTCGAATGCTCTACCGCTGAGCTATACCCCCACGATGGAGACGTTTTCGTTTTCTAATACATTGAGTTGAGCTATTGACTAAACTTTTCAATAATTTCATACACACGTACTAGTAGTACTGTTGCTGTTTCATAATTTTTTAACAAGTAATGTTAAAACGAAACGTCATGTTGAGGTTATGTAAAAGTCGGCGATTAGTTTGAATTAAAACGAATTTGAGAAGCCCTTGAAGTCTCAGAAGCAAGTAAAGATCTTCTATCTGAATACCACATTTTATATCACATGATCTAACGGCCAAGAGATGCCGCTGCTACAGATTCCGTCCATTTTTTGAGGCACTCTTATCCTGCCTTAAACACATTGCAAAAGAATTTTAATGAATAATTATCCGTTCAGAATAAAACTGAGCTTGTAATGTTCTAAATGCAGTTAGAAATTTAAATCACTAATGTAGTCTAACTGTAGCCCAAGTGCATTTAGAACATTACAAGCTCAATTTTATTTTGAATGGATAATTATTGATTCTTTTGCAACGTATTTAAGGCAAGATAAAACTGTCCCCAATATACGCGACGAAGAATCACGAAAGGAAGCAGTTCTTTTTTGTTAGTGG